ATTCTCTTATTGTATTTCTGGCGAACTAGGTAAAAATATGATTAAGATGTATGCCGTCAAATACATAAAATAATAGATTGTATCTGAGATTCGCAACTTGCATTAACAAGTATCTCCTAATTTAATTAAATCAATTTAATATTTAATTCATTCATTAAACACATATCATTAGTAGCGACCATTTTCATGAAAATATCTACAAAATTTATCATGTGCTCTATAATGCTGGTATAAGATTACATTAAGTTAAATAAAAGATATTAACGTTTTTTTAAAGCTCGAATTAGAATATGCAGCTTCTTAGTGTCATCGCATATTTGATCTTCTTCACGTTGAAGATATGTATATCAATATGATTAAATGCAGAACAAAAAAAGCAAAATAAAAATAAATAAAGATTGAAACAATCACACAAATATGTCTATTGATATTCTGTCATTAAATAACAAAATCTATTGATGAAAACGTTCATTATAAATCAGCATCAATTTTTTTACCAATTGATAAAAATATTTGTTCTAGTGTTGTTTGTGATATTGTATATGTTTCAATATTTAAATTTTGTTTATGTTGTTCAAGTAATTCAAATAGATCTGCTGGTGTACTTCGTTTAATTTGAAATGAACCTGTTGAATGTGCTATTTCTCTAGTTTCAACATTCAATTGAGTTTGTGATAATAAAAATGATTGAACATTTTGAATAGTTGTCATGTTTGTATCATTATGTGTTGAACGAACTTTAATATCAATTGTATAACCTTGACTAAATTTTGATTTCAAATGTTGGATTGTACCCAAACAAGCTAATTGACCATTAAACATGATACCAAGACGATTACATACACGTTCACTAGAAAAAATAAATAAATAAGTAAATTGATTAACCTAATTAATTTTTAATCTTTTTTACCATTCATCCATTGAATGACTTGTTAATATAATAGTTAATTTTGCTTTAACAGCATTAATAAGTATTTCTTGTATTTGTTGTCGAGCATTTGGATCAACACCAGTTGTTGGTTCATCAAGAATTGCTACTAATGGTGGTCCTAAAAATGTTTCAAATATGAAATTATATATAATTACAAAATAAAATTTCTTGCTTTACCAATTAATGCAAGTGCAGCATGTAATCGTCGTTTCGTTCCTCCACTCAATTGATGAATATAATTTTTAAGATATGGATCAAGTAAAAATAATGAACTAATTGTTTGAACAACTGAATTTATTCGTGAAAAAGTTACACCACGTATACGTGCTAATAAGTATAAACTATCTTGAACAGTTAAAAAGTTCATACTGCAATTTTCTTGTGAACAATAACCTAATCGACGTATTGATCTTAAACGACGACTAACATTTTGCCCATCAATATACGCAGTACCTTCAGTTGCTAATTCATCACCAACAAGTATACGAAATGTGGTTGTTTTACCTGCACCCTATATAAATAATTTATCAGTTGAATTTTTTTTTACAAAGAAAAGAAGTAGTTTTTTTTGTATAATGTGACTTACATTATAACCAAGTAAACCAAATGCTTCACCACGTTTGGCACCAAATGTTAAATGATTGACAGCACAAACATTACGACCAGGAAAACGTTTAACAAGATCATGAACTGTTAAATGATCAGTATCGTGTCGTTCTTCGTTATTATCTGCATCCAATAGATTATTATCTGTTGTTGAATAATTTAAATTTAAAACTCGACGACGTTCTGCTAGAACATCACTATCAAGAGTATTTTCATCAAAATGTAAAGGATTTGTTAAACATGAAAAGTTCATTCGGAATTTGAAGAAACCACTATCCATAGCAATTAAGATTAATAATAAAATAATAATATGTAAAATAAGAACTACCCAATTCCATCCAATCGTATCATTACCAATTGGTTTAAAAAATGTAACATCACTATTAATAAGTATTTGACAAAATTTACTTTTTTGTGCTAGTATGTATGTTACGATAGCCTGCGCATTTATCGTTGGTGAAATAATATTTAATAACCAATAAATCACGTTTTCAACAAGTGTATGATTAACAATTGACATCACTATTGGTACAATAATGCTAACCAAGTGAAGAACAATTAATATAAACAATACTGATAATCCACACTAGAAAATAATTGAAAAAACAAAAAGATCTAAATCATAATTCATAAGCAATGACAATATGTACGTACAAGTAGATCACTTTTGAATATTTTTGTTATGAGATATGCAAATGGTAATGTTGGTAATGCAATTATTATTGTTAATGGATAAAATTGTACTCGTAAATCCCATGAAGTAGCGAATTCAATTGGTATGATAATTGCTGTTTTAGTTCGACTGTTTGGAGAACCATTAAAAGCAACATCAAATATACAGTACATAGCAAGTAAATAACAAAACCAAATAATTGATATAATAATATCGAATAAATAATTACAAAGCCAATAGAATGCTGGACTAAAATTTCGAATTCATATAAATGACGTCATTGTTATTTTTTTTAATGAAATATAGAATAAATGATGCATGCGAGTTAAATTTAGAACTGGTGAATTTTTTCTAGTCATGACAGGCAACTGAGCAATAGTTCAACATAGAGCAAGAGAAGCATAGTGACAAAACTGAAGCGAACTCATAAATTAGTAGGGGAGAGAACTGAATTAAAAATTTCTAATTTTGCTTTTTTTCTCACACACTGAAGTGTATAGCGCGATCCATAAATAATCAGACGATGAAAACACCTTGTATCGTCAACTTGGGCTAATCATTTGACGAGTTCTTTCCTCAGTACTGGAGAGCTTTGCGACATTTTTATTTACAAAAAAAGCTATCGATCAACACTGTTTTATAGTAGCACTACTGATCTCGGTAGAATAATATATTGTTGATCATAAGTATTTTCTTATAATCGAAGTGGTGCTTAGAGTTTTCTCACTCAAAAAAATTTGATTTTGAGATTTTGACTCAGTTAGATAACTCTTAGTGTACACTGTCTGCTGTTTTACTGAGATTGTATTCCTTTTAGAGTAGGAAGTTTTGATTGAACATTAAAGTTTGTTTCGTGTTTGTCTCAAAAATGACTTTTATATTTTTGAAAGGTTTATCCGCTACTTTATTTACTAGAAAACTCAGAAAGGTCTTAAATTGAACAGATAGTTCTGTTCTACAACTTAAAAAGGTCGAATTATTCATTCTCATGCTACTCAAAAAAACTGATCTTTTCTCAGTAAAGTGCTCTTAATTTTTCAAATCATTTAAGAAAAACGTTTACCCTATTTGTAAATAAACAAAACTTTGAAAAGTCGGGCCTTGTTAAGTTATGGTCAGAGATGCTGTCTACATTTCGGCATGAAGTCTGAATCCTTCAAATAAAGCAGGTATACTTTTTGATCCCTCGATATCAGAATAAATCTCGAATTTTTCAATATTATTGACTGAAAGTTACATACACCCAGATATGCATTCCCTGAAAATTTCAGTCAGATATATTGTTCTGGAAGAAAAATCGATGTTTAAATGGAGAGGAAAGCTTGAGACAATACATATAACATTTTAAACATATGTACTACACCGAAAATATAGCCTGAAGACACTAGTGTAGTCTTGATAGCTTCACCTGAGAAACAGTTAGGACGCATGATGATAAGCCTTTGTACTTACAGAGCTTAGACCGTAAAGATGCTTTCGATCAATAGTACTAGATCTACATGTTATCTATTCAGCAATATCCTTATAAATAAAAACCTCGACAAATAGTCCTCTTTCACAAATATGTATATCGATAATAATCCTGATATAAGTATTAGCACCTTGTTTTTACTTGAATATTTTCCTGGTAACATATGCAAGTATCTCATAAGAGAATATTCCAAGAATGTGAAAATGTTTTCAGTCTTCTAGATAAAATAGTTTCATTATTTATGACAAACTAATATGTTTAATTCTTTTTGTGAAATCATTTCAATAATATTTTCAACTAAACTTACTGCAAGCCACTAATGTTCAGTAATAACAGAAGACCATCTTTGCGTTCGCTAACAAGAAATATTGTTGTATAGAGAAATATCAGATAGAAAACAAATCTACATAAATAAAAAAATGATAAGTTTATCAAATAGTTCTATTGATTTTTATTAAAATTACTTACACATCCAATATAAGTGAAGTTGGTATAATCTTTAGAAAACATGATCCTATACTTAATACATTCAATAAACTGCTCAATGTTGGTTCTATTGTCAAATTTCCTGTTTTTTTATAAATTAATGTCGTCTCAATTGATGCACTAGTATCATTTAATGCATATTTAAAAAATATATTCGTTGCAACTGAAACAACTTCATGACCAGATATTAAATTTGATGATAAGGTTTGTATCTTATATGTATCTTCTTGTGGTGTAGGTATTTGAAAACCAAGATAGATATCAGTATATGTATATGGACGATCCATTCGTTTTTCTAGAATAAAATATTTCAAGAAATTTTTACTGTGTAATATCTTCTATAAAAATTTCTACTTACGCCATACATATTTATTCATTTCAGTAATGTTTTCTGATCTTTTGTCTAGAACTAAGCTATTTGATTTAGAACCAATAGCTGCTTGAAAATAATTTTCCATGAGTGGATCTGCTTTATACAGAATTGTTTGTGGATTAAGTGATTTGACGTCCATTTTAAAGGTACCAGTTGCATTTTGACTTCGAGAAAGTACATTTGATAAAAGATTATAAACTATTGGTAATAATATAACAATAAGCATTAAACCCCAACGACGATAACGTACAAGTAATATTTTAACAATTAGACCATAAAGTTGACTTAAATAATAACGCCAACCTTGAAAAAATTGTCTTTCAGCGAATATATAACGGCATTGTTCATCTAAGAAGAAATGAAAAGATCCTTTTATTTTTTATGTCGTATTCCCTATAATGAATGCACTAGGTTCATCATACTCGCAAGTGTTCTTTACTACAATTATGTAGCATAAATTCTTAGATAATTGAGTATCTTAGAGTACTTTTACGACTTTTGGTATTTGGACATTTGACATACTTCTCTCTTGCCTAACGTAAAATTTCTTGTTAACAAGCACACTTGATAAGCTCAACTAAACGGTATTCTAGAAGTTCACCAGCTATATTCAAATTCATCAGTCATACTTTCAGCAAAAGCAATTTTTTCCCAATATAAGTAGATCATTCTATCTATTTAATACTAAACAACTGCAAAATTTTCATATCGTTAGAACTCACTGAAGCAGGAAATGATTATCATTTTTCACGATATTTTTTCAAAATGAATATCATCATAATTAAAGAATCTCTATTCATTTTGAATACCATTGGATAGGACTTTATTCGTCAACTTTAAACAGAAAATTGCATAGTAAAACTAGTCAAAATTCGACCAAGAGAAAAAAAAACAAAAGGAACATGGTTACCCTTTCTTTATGCGAACGATTTATTAATGAAATGCTATCACGACTAAGTATGTGACAGTTCAGCTCCAGGTCTCTTGAGCTAGTGTCTTTTCTCTACTTTTGTAAGGACAAAGCACACCATTGCTCGGGTCATTTGAGAGAGGACCCCAGATAATCCGTAGTTTGGCCTGAACAACATCATGTTGTATCCTCACAATAATAGAGAGGAATCCCTTCTGAAATATGCTTGGCTAAGAGCTGTTTCTATCAATCAATCAGATTCTAGTAGAGCTTTTCTCTAATATCGTAAGAATAAAACATAATATTGTGCGGACCAATCCAGCGGTTATCTAGGATTCTCTCTCAAATTACTCGAGCAATGTTATGCTCTGTCCCTGCAAAAATAGAGAATAATCATGACCAAGAAAACTAATAATAAACCATGACGATAGTCATATACACGAATATTGATAACTTGACAAGTGTATTTTTTCTATTTCGAAAAGTTTGCTTTTAGTGAATATAGAAAACATAAATATAAAACTCATTACAAAACTTCTAGAACATTTTTTTATATGTTATTAGAATTTAAAACTAAATTCTAATTAAAAAACTACTTGAGTTTCATTGACATTCAGATTATGTTTCTAATTAGTTTTAATACAAACCTATGCGTTCAATATTAACTGATGTTGTTCCCAAATTATTTTCATCTTTTGTTTCTTTCGTAATTTTCAAAAATACATCATCCATTGTACTATTTTGTACACCATAATGTTTTATACGATTTTCTTGTTTCATTACTTCAAGTTGACGTAATGCTCCAACGAATTGATTGTCTGGCTGTTTATTTGTACGGAAAACAACATCACCATTTGGAATATCAGTTTCAATTACTAATTGAGGTAAATAACGATGTAATTCGTTTTGTATTTCATTTGTACTATAATTAATTTGTTTGTTAATAATTAGTTTATAACCTAAAAGACGTTACAATTTATTTAGAAAAAAAAAACCAATATAGAAAATCTAACCGGATCCATATTGTTCTTTTAATTTTGCTGATGTTCCATCTGCTTTAATAATTCCATTTGAAATAATTATAATTCGATCCGATAGAGCATCACTTTCTTCCATAAAATGTGTTGTTAATAGAAGAGTTTTACCTTCTTTCATTGTACGTAACCAATCCCATAATAAACGACGATTTGATGGATCGAGTCCACTTGATGGCTAAAGAAACTTTTTTTGTTTTAAATAAGATAAAAAAAAATTGAAAAATTACTTCATCAAGTAAAACAATTTTAGTATCACCAACAAAAGCACAAGCTAATGAAAGACGTCTTTTCATTCCACCTGATAATGAATTACAATAAACATCTTTTGAATTTTCAAGATTAACTAAATGAATCATTTCATTTGATATTTGTTGTTTATATTTTCCAAATCCCCTAGCACATGCATAGAATTGTAATTGTTCTTCAATTGTTAATAAATCAAAAAGAATATCATGTTGTGGACAATAATCAATTGATTTTCTTAACATTTCCATATTCGTTCTTGTATCATAATCAATTCCATCTTCATTTGCCATTGTAATTGTACCTGATGTTTGTTTATATATTCCAATTAAACAATTAAATATAGTGGTTTTTCCAGAACCATTTGGTCCAAGTAATGATGTTATTTGATTTTCATATAAATCAAATGAAACTTCATTGACTGCTATTTTATCTGGACTAAATTTTTTAACAAGACGATCAACATGAATAACAGGTGCACCACTTGAATTTGTTGCTTCGACTGATGTTTCAGATTTTGAAAATTTTGCTATACGATTATTGAATAAAAAGTTTGTCATTTTACCAGTTTCTCTACGCCAATAATCTTTTTTGAATAAGAAATTCCAATCAAGTGGAACACCATATTCACCTACATAGAATATGTTCTAAAATGAAAAAAAATTTTGCTCTTGGCTTTTGTCTATTTACCTGGAAAGACTTTTTCTAAATACCATGATAATATCCAATAAAAAACACAACTAAGAAGCATAATAATCAATGTTGGAAAATACATCGGTACATAACTATATATAGTTCGAAATATGGCTACATCTTTGTTTGCTAAATCATATAATACAGTTTGCTATTGAAGAAGGAAAACAACAATAAAATTTCATGAAAAATCTTATTAGAAGAATTCCTACTTGAAAAAGTGAATGTCCAGCAATATAAGGACAAAAAAGCATTAGTACATATTGTATACTTGGTGGCCATGAAATTGTAAGTGTATATATATTAGATGCTATGAAATAAAATATGAATGTAAATATAATAGCACGAACATTAGTATCAAATAATTGTGCATTCATGATACAAAATGATATTAATTGTAAACCATATATGAGATTACCAAAAAAAAGAGCAGCAAAATTAACTGTATTGAAATAAGCATCCGGTTTCAATTTTAACTTATATGCGATAGTTAAAAGTAGAGTTAAAAGTAAAACAATCACCATTGTTCTAAAAATAAATAAATAAATGGTTTTTTTTTTTGTTTTGGAATGTTATTTATTTACCGAATGGCTTGTGCAAGATTATTAAGAATCGGTTCAATACCGAGTACTTTAAGAATTTCTTTAGCTTTTGAATTTTTCTCTCGAATTAAACTAATTAAAAGAATGACATATCTAGAAATAAAAAATCATATAGATTAATTTAAATAGAATTATTTTACTTACGGAATAATAAATATAGCATCAATCATTAATATAATTGAGTTGATAAAATTTGATTCTGATGCTACAGATAAAAAAAACAATAAATTACATATAAATAGATATTTCTGTTTCTAATCTTACTAAAAAGATAATCATTGCGAAATGATGTACAACTTAAAAGATTTCGTTCAAGTTCAAATTGAATTTGTCGATTTGTTTGATATTCCATAATTAGTGAATCAACAAACATTTTGATATCAGTAAATTCCGGTAGTTCTGATCCTTTATTACCATTGCTATCTGTTGAATTCGAACGATCAGGAATATAACCTAAAAAATATATGATTATGATATTTGACAAGACAAATGAAATTATTATCTTTATATACCTGGATGTTTGTATGATATAAATGATCTATCTACAGGATCATTATTTAAAAGAACATTCGGTGTTCGAACAATAATATTGTCTAAATGTAGATAATAAACAAGAATGGTTTCGGGAGTATTAATAGAATATAATATTTAATAGTGAATGTCTATTGTTTGTTTTTTTTTTCAATATCATTAGTCCTGATTAAGTCATTTTTGACTCATTCATAGAAACTATAGACTGACGATTTAGAGAATTTTGTTTTTGTTTTCATTTCATCTAGTTACATAAAATAGTTACTCTGATGTTTACCAGATGGACTGATATATACTATTATAAATGTATTCTATTTATAGAGTAATTGTAAAAAACTTCTTGATTACAGATCTGAGACGAAATTTTTTTTAATTCATTCATAATGAATTATATGAAGCATATTTTTCTTTTAAATTATTCTGTTTCCAATATAAACGGATACATAATACGATCCTCATTCTTGAAGTTTTATTGGATCTAATAGGTATTCATACAGGTAAAATAACTGTGAAAAAGCACAAGAAAATTAAATTCTTCAATAAATTCGATTTTTGCACCGTGTTTTATGTTTACAGTGAAATGATATCGACAAGGTTTAACCATAATAGTGTCAAAATCAATCTCTGTATAACATAGCTCCATGGTTGGCTGAATACGAAAACTCAGTAAAAAAATTCATATTTTAGTAACCATTTTATTAAAATAGAATTATTTTCAATCGACTTACAAGCAATTTTTCGTTCTTTTTTTAGATTAGATGTTGAACTAAAATCCACTATCACTGTATTGACAGTATTATTTTGTAATAAATTCATATCAGTTTCATCATTTGGATTTTGACTCCTTCAATATATATATACATATGTAAATTATATTAACTATAAATTTTTCTCTGTGTTCATTATTTTCACCTCAACTTACCAAACCTTTGCATTATCACATTTCATTGCAGTTAAACGCATTTCTGCATGTTCCACAAGTTCGTTAATATCAGTTCGATCCGGTTCAAACACTATATTTGTTTTGTTGGATATATCTTTTTTGCTATGTGTATCCCAACGGCTAGCATTATAACTTGGTGGAAATTTAAAGCAATTAGTAAATATATCGTTTGATGAAGTTGGTGGAGCATTTAAATCTTGTGAACATGGATGTTTACTGAAAGTTCCAGGTAATGTTCCATTATCTTTTTGCATTTCTGCTAGTCGATTGATTCCGTATCGACTCAAACTTAATAATATTATTATAGTAATTGGAAATAGAAGTTCACAAAGTATTGTTGGACAACATGTACAGCATTTTTGTCGATATGAATAACGAACTGAACGTTGAAGTAATAAAGTAAGTTTACGTGATGAACTTACAGGTTCATATTCGGCTTCAATTAATTTTTGCCGAATTGTGTCGGATCTTGACATTGAATTTAATTTGTTTCTATCACCAGTTATATTTCTATTTATCAAATAGTTTAAATTCTTGTTCGACAGAGACATTTGAGAAAAACGAAAATTATCGAAATTAGTTTGGTTACAAAGTAGTTAAGCATACCAGTTTCTACGATGAATTTTCACCAAGAACTTACGATAGGAACTTCTAAACAACCTATGCATCTATGTGGATGTGCGCTAGCAAAAGATTAGTATCGATACTCGTACAGATAATTCCTCCTTAATTAGTCAAATTTCAGATGCTTCACGGGATGGGCATTCTAATCCTCAATTGTATAGTAACATCTGTTGGTATAACATATGTATGTCGTATCGAAGTTACATCTTCGATCAGGTAAGGTTCTAGAAGCTGTTTGAATGAAGTTAAATACAGAAATTGTTGACTATTCAAGTAATATTATAAAACTTGATAGCGATAGTTAATTTTTCTACAGGCAACAAACATTTATTTGATAAACAAATTTAACAGTCACAAAATGTCGACAAATATTGAAATAAAACACTTTTTTTTATCTCTTCATTATTTTAGTTTCCGTTCAGAGAACAAGAGATAAATCGTAGAAAAGGTGATCATAAACATTTATATGTCAAAATTAGAAATAGAAATATAGACTGATAGTCACTGTAAAGAATATAACTACTTCAAAATTAAATATTAATCACGCATAGATTAGATATATTAAACCTATCTCTCCAATTTGTATTATTATTAATGTCGTAGGTTCCATGAGAATCTGTAGTTTAAGCCAATTTTTTAGTTGTTACTATTGAAAATATATGGATGCCATTCTTAAAACATTTACGTTTTCTTTTTACTTCAAGAGACAATTTAAATGAAGCCATCAACATGTATTCGGTTATAGCATTAGTTGTGAATAAAGAAGTATTATACATTGAGATTATGAACAAGTGTGGCAAATGCTTTGTGCGTTTGCATTTATTTGTGCTATTATTAAAATTGGTCTATTTATAATAATCCGATTATCAAATAGTTTCTATTAAAAAGATTATCAATCAGATAATTAACGTATATATCCGATCTATACGTGATAAATATTTAATTTTGAAGTAATTATATTCTTTACAGTGACTATCAGTCGATATATCCATTCCTAATTATGACATATAAATGTTTATGATCACCTTTTCTACGATTTATCTCTTGTTCTCTGAACGGAAACTAAAAAAATGAAGAGATAAAAAATGTGTTTTATTTCAATATTTGTCGACAGTTTGTGACTGTTAAATTTGTTTATCAAATAAATGTTTGTTGCCTGCAGAAAAATTAACTATCGCTATCAAGTTTTATAATATTACTTGAAGAATCAACAATTTCTGTATTTAACTTCATCCAAACAACTTCTAGAACCTCACCTTATCGAAGTTGTAACTTCGATACGACGTATATATATGACCCTGGGCAAAAGTCTTCTCCATTCCCTACTTTTTCAATAAAGTTTGTCATGCTATTATAAGGACGAAAGATAGTGTTGTTCGCATCGATCAAGGATTATTAGAGGTTCTTCGTTATATGGTCCGAACAACAATATGTTGCGTTTTTGTAACAGTACAGAAAGTTTCGTTGAAAAAGGAGAAGGTTGGAAAGACTTGCCCGTGAGTGTACATAGAAGTTTTCTTGAAAATTTTGTATGTTAGAACAGATCGTTTTTATTGGTTAAATGTTAATCTTAATTATTTCCAAACTTTATCCATGATATTGTTTATCTCTTGAAAATTTGAACACTATTACGATTAGTAACAAGAAAGCTGTATATCGTACAAGAATTCAAGGTCAAAAGTCAGAAAGTTACTATTCGATATAAGCAATTACAGAGCAGAGATGTCCATCGCGGCTGAAAATCTGCCGCTGCCGCGCCGCGGCCTTAGAAAAAAAAAGCTGCCGCGCCGCGACGGTTTATAAAAAAATGTTGCCGCGACGCTGCCGCACCACGATGACTTATAAAAGAAACGCTGCCGCGATGAATTATAAAATAAACGTGCCGCCACCGCGCCGCTGCCGCGACGGTTTTCAAAAAAGTGTTTCTAATTTCACTGCTGTGACTATATTTGACCAGAGATATGGGTACTAGTCCATCAGATTTATTCAATATCAGGGCGTTTCATTTGTAAATCCTGAAATTCTATTAAATTCATACAGTTTTTCAATGTTCTCCAAAAAAACCCTGCCGCTGCCGCGATGGTTTTTTAAAAAACCTGCCGCTACCGCGCCGCTGCCGCGATGACTTTTTAAAAAATCTGCCGCTACCGCGCCGCTGCCGCGGTGATTTTTTAAAAAAACCTGCCGCTGCCGCGATGGACATCTCTGTAATGCAGAGCAATGCGATGAAACTTATGAGAAAAGTTTGAACAACATCTGTAACTCAATAAACGTTAGGTTAAAAAAGGAATCCGGCAAACCGTTCGTTGACACCGAAAGAGTAAATCTGTACATATTCTTTTGATAAAAAAAAGACGATGTTGCTCGACTTCTGACAGAAATTGCAATAGCTATTACATCATTGAAATTCAATCAAGATGTTGCAATAAAAGAACTACAGTAGAAGATATTAATATCGTTCAGTCTGGTGGCATACGTTAGTTCACTCTCGATCTCGGTTTGAAGTGAAGAATCAGAAAAACTTCAGCGAACTAGTACAAGGAACATTTTCTTTTCATTTTCAGAAACAGGAGATTCAAGGAAACGATCTAAGTATAGAAGAATCGTTCTAATCAGTCTAGTCAGAAAAAAATGCAAATATATGAGAATAGAGTCAAATCACAAATTCAAGGCACACAATACGGATTTCGTACAGAATGAGGGACAACACACGTCAACTCTGTACATTGTATCAAGCATTCGGTTCATAAACTTAACGAAGACGTACGACCGAGTTCTATCGGACTTAACGTGGACAGTATTAAGTGAATGCGAACTTGCTACTTGTCTTTTATCTACTACTCAATCTTTGTGCAATAGTCACAAAAATTGTATTCACATAAATAAAAGCAAAGTCGAATGAGTTCTGAGTATGCGTTCGATTACAACAAGGATGCGTATTATCCCTGTTGCTGTTTATAATTCTCATGGACAAGATATGTTGACAAAGTACAAATCTGAATTACAGCGAAACCAGTGATGTTCAAGTGTATTCTCTTCTTTTTATTGACAATGTTGTTTGTTTGATAGAAGCCTCTAACGAACTTTAAAACGTTCTCGATCGACCTGCAGAAAAACGTTTTCTGTAAATAACATTCTGTTGAATCAGGCTGACAGGTTTAAATATTTAGAACTATGATTCTCTGTTGATGAAGAATCCTGTATAGAAACTGATCTACAACATGATGTGGCTAGCTGCATTTTACGTTCATTCTACTGCACAGCTCTGCCAAAAAAAACAGAATTGAATCAGAAAGCAAAGCTCCCAATTTTCTAATCGACTGATCCGCATCAATAGTGTCGAACAATGAGCCATGACTCAGAAAATTCGATTTCGAATACAAGCCATTGAGATAAAATTCTTGCGAAGGGCAGCTAACTGAAAAGACCAAGACATACTTTGCAGTTCGACTATACTAGAATTGGTTCGATTGTGGATGTCATACGAAGGAGTTTCTTGTCGAAATAGTTCAAGCGATGCCTATGGGGAAATATCAAAGAAGTGTCCATGGAATAGTTGACGCAAACACATATGTCGAAAAACTAGGTCAGAAAAGTTTCAAACATAAATGGACAGCAATACAATGCATGGCGAAGGATCAAAACAAATGAAAATCATTACTTAACAAAGTCGGATGGAAACAGAAACAATATACTATTCTTTTAATGTTTCGACTCGCATCTTTCTTCTTTCTCACACAGCATTCATTCATCGAGTTCGACTCATCATGGTGTTAATATGTTTGTTGATCACGTTTTGTTCTTAACAATTACTACAAAAAAAAAGTATGAAAAAAAGATCGAAATAAAACATTAGTGTAGTTGCGTAAAAGAACATTGATTTGATGCTAAATGCCTTTAGCCTGACACACAAAAAGAAAAAATAACTATCTCTTTATTTGAAGACATGGCTGTACTATACCTTAGGTGTGCCGTTCGACAAATAATTCTAAACTCGTATTCGTCTTATGTGAAAGAAACAAAAAAGAAAAATAATGATAAAACGAATGCATGACGTCAGGATCGAAAGATAACATTAACTCGCTTGATTTTTGTTTGTTCATTGACACTCTACTGTATCTTGATACTTATTTCATATTATCTTGTTTATTACTCATAAGTCAAATCATAATATTTGTCTACGATATCTATTGATAACAAATGTAACGTAATCAAGTCAAAACACAATCAATGTCATGAACACCAGATCCTTGGTATAGACAAGTTTTTAATGTTTTTTGTCAATTACTTTTTCTTTGTAACTGATTTTTATCTTGTATCAACTGAGAATGAAAAATTCGGCAACCGAATTCTGTTGGATTTTCGGAATAATCCGACAGCTTTCAACAAGGTCCTATCATAAATTGTCGAAATCCTTTCTCCAGGAAACCAACAAGTAGCTGCCGCATGCACTCAAAAACTCATGGAATCCTGTTGAATTCATATATGAATATTACACTTTTTAAAAGGGTGGGGTGTGGGTATGGGTGTATGAGTGTTGGTATGGGTGTGTGGGTGTGTGGGTGTGGATGTGGATGTGGGTGTGGGTGTGGGTGTGGATTGGTGTGGGTGTGGGTGGGTGTGAGTGTCGATGTGGGTGTATCCTTTTTCTCATCCACACTCAAGATCCACACTCAAAATCCACATCCACACTCACCCACACCCACTCCTACATCCTACATCCACACGCGCACCTCACACCCACACTCACCCACATCCACACCCACACCCTTTCGGAAAAATTGAAAAAATAATGTTTTTATGAAAATTAATTTGTCAATATGGAGCTTGAGAAAATACATTTGTAGCCGGA